TTTCACAATATTCTAATTTTCTGAGATTGTGGATTTGGGGGTTTTCATGAGCTGTAAGCCATAATCATCACAATTATGACAAATCACAGCTTGAACCATCTTGCTTTTCATGTAATGAGTCTATCTCATATATTAGTTTTTAAGTTGCATTACTGAAATAAATGAACTTTTGTACAATATTCTAATTTTTCGAGTTTCACCTGTAGATCCTCACTAAAGTAGTACCTCTACCAGTGGTTTTCAATCTTTTCATCACTATGGACCTCCTTTAAGTGCCTTTTGTGGTACTTACTCAAGATTTAAATCATAACATTTCTTCAAGCCTTTATAGACCCCAGGGGTCTGCAGATCACAGTTGAGAACCAATTGCTTCTTTTTTTAGGCCATAGTTCACATCACTATTTCTCCTTAATTTAAACAGAATTGTTATCAGTTTGTTAGTATGATAAAACTATTTCCTTCTAAACTGAAAGGGAGACTTATTGACATAATTTGAATAAAAAGTACTGATAATAAAATAGTAAGACCACTATTAATAATATCCCCTGACATGTAAACTAAAAACAAACATTTCTCTACTATTAATAAAAAACAGGAGGAAGCAAATTTTCTCAAGGGTAAAAAAACAATTTTATTCCCCAAACATAAGAGAAAAAAATTCTAAAGGTTCTTATAATTTTTGTTTCATTAATATTTTAAGTAGAAATCATATTGTCTTCATGAATCCCATTTTCCCCTTTTACTATAGAAAGGCAAGGAATTTGGTTACTTCCCAATGGATGCTGTCCAAACAGAAGAAGTATTTGTTACAGAAGAAATAGAAGTGCCCACAAAGGTAAATTAAAATGCTTCATGAACATTTCAAATTCACTAGTGGTATTATTTCAAAGGAAACTCAGGAGGTAGTTTGGTGTATTGATTTGTTCGTATAAAATCATAGGTGTCCAGGTTTGGCTTGCCTGGGCCACATTGATTGAAGAGGAAAAACCATCACTTGACCCAACCTGCCTGGACAACTTGCATCCAGTCTCCCATCTTCCCTTTTTAGAGAAAGTGCTAGAAAAAGTGGTTGTTTGACAGTTCCAGGGGGACCTAGATGAAATGGATTTCCTGCACCCCTTTCAGGCAGGATTCAGGCTCGGCTATTGGACGGAGGCACTTTGGTCACATTTATGGATGATCTCTGGTGGGAGTGGGATGGGGATAGTTGCAACCATTCTTGCTCTCCTTGACTTCTAAGCATTCTTTAATACCATGAACCATGGTATCCTTTTGGGTCGGCTATGTGAGTTGGGGCTGGGCAACTCCTTTCTTCAAGGTTGGTCCCAATCAGTGTTAGTGAGTGAGAGATCCAGGTCCCAATTGCTCACTTACATTGTCCTGCAGGGCTCAATATTTTCTGATCTTCTATTTACCGTCTACAAGAGCCATTGGGTGAGATCATTTGTCACCATGGGTTGAGATATCAATATGTTGAAGATACGTACATCAAATCTATATCTGGTGATCTGAGTAATGCTGTCTCTGCTCATGATGCCTGGAGGTTGTAGGGACCTAGATAGAGGACAACAGATTTAGGATGAACCCTGGCAAGATTGAGTAACTTGGGTGCATGGAGCCTCAGGATTCATGTTTTTGTCATCCTTTGTTCTGGGTAGGGTGATACTAACCTGTTCTGACCCCCCTTCTCCATCAGGAACAAAAGCCAAACCAAATGTACAAAAGAATGTTTTAATCAGTCCAGACTCTTGTTGGTTGCAAGCCCAAAATAAACAAAGAGATAATCACTCTGGCAAAAAGTCCTTCACACCGACGCAGCACTGCAAACAGGCTTCTCATAGCAAACCACTTCTCCAAGTTGGTTTCTCTTAATTCGTGAATGTGAACGAGAACGTTGACTCCTGCAACCAGGGCGTGACACAAACAGTCCCTTTTATAATCAGGAGAGGATCTTAATCAACATCAGCTAAGCACAATAATCTCCTACAATTACGCAGTTG